ATAATACAAACCGGTTAAACAAGAGTTAGCAGTGATTGCTTCGCGTCCCGTTTACTTAAAAGCTCACTCCTCACATATTGCAAACCGGTTAAACAAGAGTTAGCAGTGATTGCTTCGCGTCCCGTTTACTTAAAAGCTCACTCCTCACATATTGCAAACCGGTTAAACAAGAGTTAGCAGTGATTGCTTTTGACTAGCTACCTTGTTCACTATCGTCTATGTGCTCAAAGTTTTGACGGCTATGCACAAACGGTTATATGTAGTTTTGCACAAAACGTTTAAAGCAAACAGCTTAATCATCTAGATACACTATTGTGCTTAGTTATGTTTCGAAATTAATTAGCGCCCCAGTGGCACAGCAGTATGTCTGCGGACTTATAACGCTAGAAAGCGGGTTTCGATACCCGTGGTGGACAAAGCACAGATAGCCCATTGTGTAGCTTTGTGCTGAACTACAAACAACAACAACAACAATAATTCAAACTATTTACTACAATTAATCTATATATATATATACATCTGTGTAACTTTAAATGATCCAATACTTTTTTCTATTGCAAAAAAACAACACAATAATATTGCAATGACGCTCATAAATTAACAACATAACGGATTATTAATTGCAACGTCAGTCTTTTACTCAGAATGATCAAGTTTGCGTGTATTTTGCTATTTCGCCCATATTTCAAATGTTTTCATATTATGCCCACTATATCAAACCATAACATGCGTTATATAGCGGGGTTCTTATCTTTTTTTTTAACTGTCTGCTCACGTATCAAGACTTTCATTAGACTGACTCAGAATACAAAATACCAACAGTAGCCCAATTACTTAGTACAGGGCCCTAATAAATCAATACGTTGAAATATTAGCTGTCAACGCTTAGAAAAATCTTTGTGGTACGAAGGTATACTGAAATGTTACTGGATTAACATTGATACTCAACTGTTACTGGCTGCAACATTCGTATTGACATTTGACTTGTTGCAACAACCGTATGGATATATTATTCAATGCATCAACTATACTGACATGTTACTGGCTGCATCACCCATACTGACATGCCACTTGTTGCAACAACCGTATGGATATATTATTGATTGCATCAACTATACTGACATGTTACTGGCTGCATCACCCATACTGACATGCCACTTGCTGTAACAACCGTATGGATATATTATTCAATGCATCAACTATTCTGAAATGTACTAATGTAACAACCGTAATGACAGGTACGTTATTAGTTGCAAGAACCATACTGATGTATTATTGTTTGAAACAATAGTACCATTCTACTCACAAAACATTTAAATAAACTTTTTATTTTTCTAGAAAATCAGTTAAGTGCTTAAACAAAAAGAAACCATTAAAACGAACAAAGTGGTACACTTTGAAGAATCCAATAGAATATCAGAACTCACTAAACATTAACGTATTAAGCCTACATCAAAAGTACTTCTCTTTATTAAAACGAACAAAGTGATAGACTTTGAAGAATCCAATAGAATATCAGAAATCACTAAACATTAGCGTATTAAGCCTACATAAAAAGTACTTCTCTTTATTAGCTTAAGATTATGATTGGAAGGTTACTAATGGAGTCAGGTTATCTAGATAGAAAACGAATGAAATACTGCAGTTCTCTATTATTTAAAATTTAGGGTGGATAGCTTAACGCGACTGTTTTTGTTCGAATTACCCTCTATTGAAAGTTTTGCTGCAATACGAAAATATGTGATGAAATCAAATTGTGACAGCAATTTATATTCGGGCCGAGCGTGGCCGAATAGTTTGTCTGCCAGATTATTGATCTACGGGTCCGTTATTCGCGTCTTGTTACCGAAAAAAAAAAAATCGAGCTTTGCATTTTGGGGCC